CCCCGGCCCCTGGGTGCATGGCTGTGGGGGGCCTGGTCCCCAGGAGCGTGGCAAATTGGCCTCCCCACCCCCAGGCACGCAGCTATGGGGGGGGTTGCCGGCTTTGGGCATGCGGCTCTGGAGGACGCTGGCCCCAGGCTTGCTGCAAATGGGTAGCCCCCCCCGCCCGTGGCCATGTGGCGCATAGGGTTGCTGGCCCCAGGCATGTGGCTTATGGGGGTGTGGCGTATGTGCGCAAGTGTCCCCCACCCTCTGGTACCCGGCAGGCAAATGGCCATGCCCCCTGGCACCTGGCAGCTTCAAATGGTTGGGGACCACTGCTCTAGGACCATCCAATAGCAGTACTGTGAGGGAAACTATACAGAGAACAGCTGCAGCTGTAAAGAAAGACCAAGTTACTCACCTTGTGCAATAACAATGGTTCTTCAAGATGTGTGTTCCACTGTAGGTGTTGGGTTTGTCCCGGCACCACAGATCAGAGTCTTCAATAGCAGTAGTCAGCTGGACCGCGCATGCGCTGTCAGCGGCTTGCGGTGTTCATACTTTCTCTTGTGCACGTGGTCCGGCTCCTGCCAGTTCCTCTTGTCCACGTGAGGATCTGAAAGAGACAATTACCAACAGGGACTCTGAAGTGGGGAGGAGGGCGGGTAGTGGAGCATCCATGGGGACACACATCTCGAAGAACCATCGTTACTGCACAAGGTGAGTAACTTCGTCTTCTTTGAATAATGTCCCCATGGGTGCTCCACTGTAGGTGACTTTGTAGCAGTGGTCGAGAGCCCTTGGACAGCAGATTTTGGAGTCACAGTCTAATGCTTGTGGAAAGCACCACCGAGGCCACTGCTGAATCTGTGGCCCAAGATGTAGTATAGCATAATGCTTCATAAAGGTGACATTAGAAGACCACTTGGCCGAGCGGCATATGTCTGAAAGAGAAACTCCCTTGAGAAACACTATGGACGTGGATATGGCTCTGGTAGAAGGAGCCCTCAGTGTTGTCGGAAATGGTTTGTTGCGGATAGTGTAATCTCTCTCAGTGCAGGCCACTATGAGGTTCAAGATGTGTTGGGAGGATAGTGAATGTCCTTTAGAGCAATCCACAAGAGATACAAGAAGGCACTGGGACTTCCTAAAGTCCTAAGTTCTCTGAATGTAAAAGGCTAGTGCTCTGCACACGTCGATGGTATGCAGTAATGTCTCTTGAATGGAGGTATGAGGCTTAGGGAAAAATAATGGCAGAACGATGGGTTCATTAATATGAAACTGAGAACAGACCTTTGGAATGAAGGCTGGGTGTGGCCATAATATTACATTGTGCTTGTTAAAAATAGTGTATGGCGGTACTGCCATCAGCACCACCAGTTTGCTGACCCTGAGGGCCCAAGTAATTGCCAATAGAAAAATAAGCTTCATTGTAATCATTGGCAGAGGTACTGTTGCCAATGGCTCAAAAGATGGTTTAGTGAAGGTGTCCAGAACTAAGTCGAAGTCCCATGGAGGTGGCGGAAGCCTGAGGGGGAGGGTTGAGGTTAGTTAACCCTTTGAGGAAGAGCTTGGTGGTAGGGTGCAAGACTATGGATGTGCCTTCCACAGGTTATCGAACAGCAGTAACAGCCATCAAGTACACTTTTAGTGATGCTATAGCTAACCCAGAATAGTGTAAGGATAGATTTGAGGATTTTTTTGAGAGGTGCCCTATATGGATCTACCTGTTTGTTAGTGCACCAGGCAATGAATCTGCACCACTTATGCGTGAAGGTTGTTCTTGTCATGTCCTTCCTGCTGTGTATTAGGATTTTTTTGACCGGAGAGGAGAAGAGGTTCTCGGTATTGGAGAACCAGTGAGAAGCCATGCTGTCAAGCGGAGAACGTGAGGCTGTGGGTGGAGAAGGGTCCCATGGTTCTGGGTCAGTAGGTTGGGAAGGCTGGGGAGGGTTGGCAGAAGACACTGGGATACGGTGGCAGAAGAGTCATTTGATAAAGAAAGGGAAACCATAGCTGGTGAGCTTATGATGGCATTTCAAGGATTACTTTGGCTCTGTCCCTTTAGATTTTGTGTAGGACTCTGGGAATGAACATGGTGGGCAGAAAAGCATAGAGGAGTGGACCTGTCCAACTGAGAAGAAAGGCATGGCCCAGAGAATTTCTGCCAATCCCAGCACTAGAACAGTACTGTCGATATTTTGAGTTTTTCTGGGATGCAAACAGATCTATTTGTGGGGAACCCCAGAGACTGAAGATGTGCTAGCGAACATCTTCCCAGAGCTCCCATTTGTGATGTGGTGCGAATTGTCTGCTTAACGCATCCGCTGTGGTATTGTGGGTTCCCGGTAAGTATGAAGCTATGAGCGTAACTTTGTTGTGGATACACCAGTTCCAGAGGCGAACGGCCTCTGTGAAAAGGGAATGGGATTGCCCCCCCACCCCCTCAACGATTGATGTAGTACATTGTGGCGTTATTGTCAGTGCGGATTCTGGTCGTGGTACTGGAGATATATGTTCTGAAATGGTTGCAGGCATTGAGGACAGTCCTGAGTTCTTGGATGTTGATATGAAGGGCTGCCTCTCATGGTGTTCATCGTCCTTGAATGGTCAGATCATTCATATGCGCGTCCCGGAGCCCATCAGAGAGGTGTTCGTGGTGATCTAAACGGACAGCTGAGGCTGGTGAAATGGGACTCCTGCGAGGAGGTTGTGTGGACTGGTCCACCACTCTAAGGAAGATATCACAGCAGATGTTGGAGTGACTCATTTGCCAATATGGTGCCTTGTGGGAATATACACTGACACCAGCCATTGTTACAGGCACTGAAAATGAAGCCTTGCATGATGGACCATGTATGTTGTGGCTGCCATATGGTCCATGAGCTGTAGGCATGTGAGGCAGAGACTACAGGACTTAAGGTAAGTATTGCAATCAGATCTCGTATGGCCTGGTACCTCTGTATAGGTAAGTAGGTTCTTGCCGTTGTGGAGTCCAAACTTGCTCCTATAAATTCTAGGTTTCGAGTTGGCTCTAATGTTGGTTTCTGATCGTTTATGACCAAACCTAGAGACTCAAACGTCTCTCTCGCTGTCACAACCATGTGAAAGTCTTTGGCTTTGGTTGGCCCCTTCAAAAGGTAGTCGTCAAGATAGGGAAAAATTACTAAGACCTGTTGGCGGAGATGCATGGCTACCACCGTGAGCGTTTTGGAGAAGACTCTGGGTGCTTAGGAGAGTCCAAAGGGTAAAACTCGATATTGGAAGTGGTCTTCCTCAACCATGAAGCAAAGAAACCTTCTATGGGCAGGGTGGATCATCACGTGAAAATATGCGTCCTGAAGGTAGAGGTCTGCAAATCAATCCCCATGATCTAGCGCTGGAATTATGGTCAAGAGAGTCACCATTTTGAAACGCTGCTTCTGCAGGTAACGGTTGAGTTTTCGAAGATTGAGTATGGATCTCCAACCTCCCATTTTTTTCTGGGTGAGGAAGTAATTGGAATAGAAGTCTCTGCCTCTGAACTCGCACAGCACCCTCTCCACTGCTCCGATGGTAGGGAGGTGGTGGACTACTTGTTGTAACTGATGCTTGTGAGAAGGGTCCCTGAAGAGGGACGGAGAGGTCGGGGGGTATGAGAAGGGTCCCTGAAGAGGGACAGAGAGGTTGGGGGGTAATGACGTGAAAGGGATGGTGTACCCTGTCAAAACGATCTCTAGAACCCAATGGTCGATGGTGATGCTGGACCAATGTTGGTAAAAAGGTTTGAGCCGGTGATGGAAAATGGCAACTACAGGATTGGGTTGGCATGTGGTACAGGGGGTTTGTGAGCCCTTGACCAGGTTGTCAAACATTCTGCTTGTTAGCATGAGCCCTTGACCAGGTTGTCAAACGTTCTGCTTGTTAGCAGGCTGAGTGGAGGGGCGGTTGTTTTGGGCATGCCTCTTTTGGGGTCTTTGTCTCATTCACTGGTGTTAGTCAAAAGGACATTGGTGGTATCTTGGCTGCAAGAAGTCATAATGTCTTTGGAAGGGCGTGTATTTCTTGCAGCGGAATGGGAGTGTGCACATCCCCAGGATTCAGAGAGTGCTTGAGTCCTTGCTTTAGTGGAGGACCTCATCTGTTTTTTCAGCAAACAACTTTTATTTGTCGAATGGGAGGTCCTCCACCTTAGTCTGAAGCTCCCGTGGAACTCCAGCATTCTGAAGACATGAGGACCTTTTCATAACTATAGCGGTGGCTGTGGATCCCACCACATCCAATGCAATTTGCTGCCTAGTTCTGGCAGAGGCATATCACTCCTGAACAATGGATTTTAAAATGGACCTTTTTGGATTGGGCAAATGTTCCATCAGTGCTGTGAGTTTAGCATAGTTGTCGAAGACATGATTCAACAGCAGCGATGCATAGTTGGCAAAGCATAACAAAAGTGTCAAAGAAGAATATATCTTTCTGCCAAAAAGGTTCATACATACGCTTACTTTCTTTCTCCACTGCAACATTCTTATACTGTGGAGTTTTTGCCCTCTGCTGGGCTGCATCTATGACCAGAGAATTTGGTTGCGGATGTGAGAACAAAAACTCTGAACCCTTGGTCAAAACAAAATATTTGTTGTCAGCCCTCTTGTTTGTAGGGGGTGCAGAGGCTGGGGTCTGCCAGATTTCCACAGAGGACTTCATAATTGCTTCAATCAGTCAGCAGCGCTATTTTTGCATGCTGGGATGGTTGTAAATTCTTGAGGAGACAATATTGTTTCTTCTGGACTTCTGTTAACTGGACCTCCTGGCTAGCAGCCACTCTTTTAAACAGTTCTTGAAACTGCTTAAGGTCGTCCGGGGGAGATGTATCTCCAGGGATGATGGCCTCATCTGATGAAGAGAAGGATTGGATCATTGGTAATGTATCCGCCTGTTGCTCCTCCGGTTCAGAAAGTTGACCTTCCTCCAGCTCAGATTGGTGTGGTGGGGAGGCAGGCACATGAAGTTGTGGGGACAACTCATGGTATGAGTGCCTGGATTGGTAGCAACAGGGGACCAGTGTCTTGATGGAGGGTAATACTGGCATTGGTCATGCGACAGTACGGTTGGTCATAATAGTATCTATGATGGTCATGATACTGATGTCTTGGTGATGCCTGCCTAGAGGAATATGCACTTCTGTGTTCCTGCCAGCACATATCATGACCTGATGTAGTTGGAGAGTGAAGTGTCATTGAGCCCCTTGATGAAGGGGGAGGTGAGAGGGACATTTGCCTCGGGTGAATGGTGCAATGAAATGCACATCCCGGTGTTGGTGGTAGAGGCAAGGGAGACCTGTGGTGTAGTATTGGTGATCTCAGTGCCAGTGATGAGGAAGACGGAACTGGTGAGAAGGTCGGTGAAGGGCTAGGACTAAGTGGTCTATTTGACTTAGTCCTTGCCTTTTTCAGTTCCGGAGGTGTATCTGGTGCATCTGGTGCTAGAGAAAGGCGAGGTGCTCGAGTCGGCACGGGTAGTGGTGTCAGTGCTGTGGGTCCCTATCTCAAGCTCTAGCTGTGAGCTTAGAACAATGTGGGCATTTCTGAGGCACATGGGCCTCTCTGAGGCATCTAACACATGTCAAATGGTTGTCCGACACTGGCATGGCCCCACGACATGTTTCACATTTTTTAAAACCCGGCATTGTATGAGGGGAGTTATCGAAGTTCACCTCAATATATGTAATTTCAGATCTTTCTTTCCTTATAATCTCTCTTCCTCCTTTTTTTTAACCTCAGAAAAGCAGTGAAGCCCTTTTTTGTTTGTTTGTTTTTTTATGATTAACTATAACTATTATGATAAGAACTATGTACTGGAACAGTAAACTAACTGACAGAAATCTTAATTTTGTGATCAACAGTGGAGGAGAAGAGCTCGCTCCATCTGCGACCGAGGGTGGCAACAAAAGAACTGGGGGGAGCCGGACTGCATGTATGAGAGAAAGGGCGCGAACGCCGCTATCTGCTGACCGTGCATGCATAGTTCGGCTGACTACTGCTATTGAGGACTCCGATCTGTGGTGCCGGGACTAGCCCGATACCTACAGTGGAGCACCCCTGGGGACATCACTTGAAGAAGAACATATGACTCTCAGCAAGGCAGCCAATTATTACTAGAGACTACTTTTGTTGATTAAATGAGTAAATTAGCTAAGATCTAGTTTTGCAGTGAGTTGCTTGTCAAGTTCAAATACATTACCTAAAACTGCACCAAGAATCTTCAATGCTAACCATGTTGAGTATCACACAAGGGTGATGCAGATTGATGTGAAGGGATTCATGTAGGTCCAGAAATGTAGCTAGAGAAAATGACCCCTGTTGGGTATCATTTGACCAAGGGACATGCAAGTTACAGGATTCCCTCCCCCAAAATTGTTCTTCATGCTGCTTTGTATGGATAAATTGGGAGGTACTAATGACTGGCTGCATCGCAGACCTCACGGAGACTGATGTCTAAAAAATACCCCTTCAACTAACATAAGAGGAATATTTTACTCACAAGCCCCCCACCTCCTAAGATAAGATGTTTTTGACTGAATGGCTAGAGGTGGCCACAACTTGTGAGTCATGAGTGGCAATATTATTTTGGAAGAAGATACTCAAAAGTATTTGGGGAGGGGGAATTAGATCTGTGACTAACTGCTGGGAGAGAGACAGGTATGAGGGGCAGAGGAGTGGGAGAATAGGGAGAGAGAGAGAGGTTTGGGACTCAGAAGCAAGGAGGAAGTAGATAAAA